AAAACCGGAAAATCCTGTACCCAAAAACTAGTGCAAAACTTTCGAACTGGCCGGTCTTCATCGCAGTGGTGCTTGGTGCAAGGTCAAAGCGACGGTCCGCCGACCGAAACCCGAACCGAAGCTCGAACGAAACACGAACCCTCGCAGAACAGCCACGTGATTGACGTTTCAACGAGTCAACGAGTCAGGTGGTGTGGAGTCGGCACGAGGACCGAGGCGATGTCTGGTCCGGCGCCTCACAGGGCCTCACGCTCGCTCCTCACCTAGTTTAGATTGAAGTGTTTAAAACTCATTAATTTCCGTTACGGCTTTGCAGACGGCAGACTTCGATCGCTTGTACTACACTACAAACCGGCACTGCAAATCTTCTATCCGCTCCACTGCGTGCCAGTTGTTGTCGTGCTATTTACGTGTTCGTGTCCACTTCTTTAGCCACTTCGAGAATAAGCCAGTCACACGAATCGTTCGCTTTTCGCTTCGTTGGGGCATCGGTGGGATTTACGCAACCAACACTGTTTTTCTTTGTCAAAAGTTTTCGCTTTCCGGCGTTCGATTCAGCCCCACTTTTGTAACTACGCATCCCTGCCGATCAGCACAAATTTCCACTATCCCAATGAGTTCAAAAACCAGCCACTGAGGATTCAAGATTCGCGAAAAATTTAAGCTGTTACGCAGTAATAGTTACAATAGTTTTTCCTCCACTGCTTGTTTTCTGTGATATGACTCGTGTAAACGTCATAACAGATCTTTAAAATACTTTAGAGTAATATCTTGGAAGAACTGCATTCTGTTGTCGCTTCCAGAGTGCACGAAAGAAATTTGAAAATGCCCGGGAAATCCTTTAAACTGAAGGAGGAACGGCATCGGCATGTGCAAGACGCCACATTGTCAAGAACGTGCAATGAACTCGGCAAAGTCCCTGCGCTGCCAAAATCAGTTCCATGCAGTAATCATGCCGTCCTCTCATTCGGTATTGGCAATACATTATTGGACCAGATCAATACCTTATATGATTAGAGTTAAACATCCGGCGCTGTTCCTTCTGTTACTTACAAATTTTCAGGATTGCCGTGATAGTGGTCACGTCTATGACACATATCTGAAAGGTTGCACTGCGTGAGGCTAGTCACTAGTCAAGCAAATGTCAATACTCTTTGCGCCTCCCCACCGTAATTGTGAAAGAACGTTCACTAGGTGTTTTTAACATCTACCTTTACAAACTGTGCTGATTTTTGTCAGCCATCAGGTGGGTCAAGGCGAGTTACAGCCGAGTGCATCGCACGTTTTGGCATGGCCGAATCAAAGCGTCGTCCTGTCCCTATTAATCGCAGGTCAACGACCTGCACCCTTTTTTCGCCTGCTGCCACTGAAGCACAATGGGGTGAATTCCTTTCTCAACGGAATTTCCAGTTAATGAGACAAACTTCACGCTTCGTGCTGCGTTTGAACCTGAACTCTAGAAATATTCTATTCGTAAAAGGTATACTTCACTGATCGATGCACCTCATACGCCTTCGCGAAACTCTGAAAGTATGTGTTCGAACGGCGGTGCAATATCAGAAGCGCTCAACTCTTCCACGACATAAATATCAGTCATTCTCACCCTGACATGGTAATAATACCGTCTAAGATGTGTTTCGGTTTTCATGCTTTCCCACTGCGATTTCAATGCGTTGCTTAGGGTGCTGATCTTGTTTAGCCATATATTTATGAGAGAGTAGAAGATCATCCTTACCATATGAAATTTAGGTATCATCTGGGTATGTTGATTAAAGGCAAGGTTGACAAGAAGGAAGAGAGGGGCCTAGCAGGCAATCAGAATGACCCGTGTACATCTCGTTAGGTTAATAACATGGCCCAATCAGAATTCCGCCCTGTTTTATTTATGCATGAAGCTGTCAAATCAAAAATGGACATCGTTATTAGGAATGTTAATTAATCAAACGATACTTTCAGATTCTGATCCAAATTCCAACACTTCGTTTTCGTTCCATAGAGCAGGTCCTTAGACGGTTTCAGCGAGGATTCAGGTAATGTCACGGGGTCAAAGGAGGTCATAAGTATTGTCTTGCATTTTTTAGGATGGTTTAGATGCGAAGCTAATCTTCAAATCAGACACGTTTGCCCATAGCAGCTTGTTATGTTGCTGGCTGCGACCACAAGACAAGCTTTGGGTTGTTACCCAAGGCAGACTAATAAATTTCTGTCGTTTCACGGGACCATAGGGTTTGAGTACGGACAATGTTCCAACAGCTGAAGTCAAACATTAGATCACTCCTTTGCTTTACTTGCTATGTGTATATTAGATTTATGGCGGCAAGAGTTCCATAGGTGTGTATGTTTGGCTGTGCATATGTGCTTGATATTTTCCCTCTTCATGGGTCCAACAAGTCCTTAACGAAATGCCATGAGGTCAAGGACGGTTTTGTCCGCTGCCTCGAGACATTTTCCGTTGACATATGCTAATCTCATTAAATAACGCTACTCAAGGCGACTGGCCTATACCAATTTATCTATTCAGCTAAAACCATCTACGTCTATCATCTATCATGGCAAAAGAACAGATAAACCGATATATCGCACATCACATCAACATGATAGTGAATAGGGCATGAATAAAAGTATGGAATTACGTATCAATGAAAATGTTCGCAGTAGTCATAAGCTGACATATTTGAAAGACCCTATGCATCAAATCTATTCTCTCAATGGGCAGCGGTTTTAATGCGGAGGTAGTTGTGTCCTAGAGGTCAGCATCAAATCTTTCAGTCAAGAACTGACAACGAAGTTTTCATATTCCATGTCAGATCTCAGAATTCGCCTTGTTCCTGTTTGTCCCAGTGTCTGCCTCTTAGACATAATTTTCAATTTTAACTAGCATTAAAGTTCACAGCAAAAACTAAATTATATTCGCTCATAATTTGTCATGCGGACATCCTTGACAAAGAATCACACCTCCAAGCTCTATCAAGAAGAAGCAATTAGAGCAATTACACTGATATAGTCATTCGTAACATGGCCTTCATTAAAAGTTTAATGTTAATAAATGTAACGATGATGAGCGTTGACATAATAGTGATTCCTTTTAAAGGCAATATTTTATTTTTATTAACCCTCAGACTGGCTGTCTTGTAAAGTGATTAAAACAAATGATATTTTTGTAATAATTCAAACTGGCCACTAGCACATTCTGCACAACGTCTTTGCCTCTAGAGGCTTAGGCGGCTACTTCAATTAGCCAGAGTTCCACTGTATCTGAAAATCTATGATACGGGAATAAACGAGCATGGCGCATTGTTTATTCGAACACATATTAGTTGATGCCCCGAATATGAGCATAAGTCATTCTTTACAGTAGTGTGAGAAACTTTGACCAAATGATAATTTAGTGTATTTATATTTTCCGTTTATAAAGACGAGGATTCTTTTCCTAAAGTGAGGGTCAGAAAACGAGGCAGGAGTCCGCTTCAGTAGAATGTGATGAGGCAATGGTTGCCTCGCCAACTGGAATTAAAGCTTAGAATGCGTTTCGTTTCTCTGAATCCGTTGGGATGGATGAACGTCGAAGCCATGGGATACGATTCACAATGGTTGGTACACTGAATGAGTTGTCGAACAAATACTGACTAGACAAGCTCAAGAAGAAAGAAGAATAGGAAGCGCTGACTAATGCTTGTGGCGGCGTACAACGGGGGCAAAAGTGATGAACGACGAATAAGAATGAACGAGAAGGAGAATTCATTAATTACTTCATAAATGAATTGCAGACTGAAAGGAAACATTCTGACTTCAAACTCAGGCGAAGTGATTGATGCATACTGTAACTCTGCACGCTGCCTTTAGCCCAGAGGACAAGGCATGAGGTTGATGGAAAGAATTATGGCTAAAATGCTTTATGCTCAAAAGCAGAATATCTTGTCAATTTTGTCAAAGCAATGAATTATTATTTATTAATTTGCTGCGCGACAACGACAATTACCTACACGTTAGGGTAAAGAAGACGATATGAAATGCAATTCAGAACACTGATGTCGTGAAAGGCGTTATTTTCTTCATTGTGTGACATCGACTGTCAT